AAAATTTGAATTAAACTTTTTAAATATACGTATAAATTAGCTAACCAATTGGATCGCCATATGAATTTTACATTTATCGGTGTAAAGAGAGATGTGATCCGATATCCACCAGTTTTACTATTTCTAATTTCATAACAAAATTAATATCGATATATTTATAATAATATTTCGGATATCTGGACGACACTTATTTAACCTAAAAGCCCATTTAACTAACATCACGCGGGTGACAACTTACTATTAATGTAATATCTGCAACTAATTAAATGCAAACCCTAACCTTATCGTTATGTGGTTAAATGGATGTACATAGGTAAAGTGGACGTCGAGAAAATAAGAACTACCCATCCGGATATCCGTTAAATTTTAATATGTAGGAAAACGAATAACGGATAACGGATTGCATCTCTAAATATCGTGGTGACTGATAAAAGCTGCGCTTGTTTTTATAACAAAAACCGAATAAAGCAATCTCTTTTCGGCTGGCAAATTCTAGATACAAGATTATGCAGCTTGATTGGTGAGAATCATAAATCTGTAAAACTCCTAAATTTTCCATAGTGTGTTATGAGGTTTATCAATTGTGTTAATTAGAATTATAAAATTAGTAAATAATATTGATATATATATATGTTGTATCTAATTAAATATATAATATATATTGCATATAGTTGAATTAAACTATTAATTCTAACTAAATTTTTATATTTATTAATTTTTATATTTAATCGTAATTGCACACATATATGTATATATATACATATACATTTAAAATATTACATTATTTTAACCAATTAAATTTTTTTTTTTTAAGTTTGAATCGCTACTGTATATAATTTACAATACACACGTAAGCACTTTAAAGAATTACTAAACTTGTAAATAACGATTTTTTTTTTAGAAAATTCAATTGGTGATCTTTGAATAGATCGGATATTTTTTAAAAAAGAATTGTGACCAACAAATTCGGCAATAACCATCGACATGTGATATATCGGCGATTATAAAGGTAACCATATTTATCTAGATGTGACAAAATTTGAAAGTGATGTTTCAATTTTAACAAAGCGGGCATGAAAGCCGTTCATTTTGCAATATTATATAAGTTACATTTTTTAATATCAATTTATGATTATATATATAATTGGTATTAGGTATTAATACTTTTTTTTAATTATACGTACGTATACGTATCAATTTATTTGTTATACCTTCCTCTTATGAATTTCCACATGTTAATAAAAAGATTCAGTTTAATAATAAAAGGGATAACTTTATACAATGGTAATGAATTTGGAATCATTATTATTATGAAAAATTGGACTGTTTATAAAAAATGATATAGATAATAGTAAAGATGTTATCGGCTTTCTCGACTTTGTTGTATTATAATACGAGCCGTACATTGTACTAAAGTCCTACAATAATTCCCAAAGCTTCTGTTTTTAATTGACTAAATACTAAGCTTGACATTGAATGAGTATCGGATGATTTTTCGTCAACAAACCCAATCTATCGATTGTTTTTTTTTTATTTAATTTACAACAAAAATCTGTATTATTTGTAATATGCTCAAGATGTAAATGGCCACGAAAATTCAAGTTCACGTGACAACGTGTGGCGCACACTTGAAAATGTTGTACGTATTAATTCAATAAAATTATTACATAGAAATAATCAGGGTTGGCATATTACTATTTTTCTACGTATTGGTATATACTTCTATTCACTTTTTTTATATTAAACTTTATTAATTAATATAAAAATATTTTAAATTTATTACTTACTAATGCTCTAACAATATATATTTAAATAATTATAAATTATTAATAAAAAATTTTTTTTTCATATAATGAGTTTTTGTTCTATTGTTTATTTGATAAAAATATGCAAGGAATATTTTTCTGTTAAGACAAGGAAGTTGGTTTCATAGACAGAATTATGAGTTATTTTGCTTTGAAAACTGAGGTTTTTTGAATCGTGCAATTTAATTGGCCTTGGTCTGTCACCGCCGGCGACAAATAGATTCGCCCAAATTATTAAATAAAAAAGATTTTATATTAAAAAAAAACCATTTTATTGAGTTTTTATCGTTATAAAGTTTCTTGAAAACGCGATATTTTATTTTAGTTTCTGATTGGCTTGCGCCACTCTCAATCACGTGAACGTGGGTGGACTCGTGTTATGGATTGCTTTCTTTCTTCTCTTCCTCAGTTTGAACACTTTCACCTTTAAGATTCTCAATCTTGTTATTGATGAGATTATGAAGTGCGATCACAGCTCGAATTAAGGAAGATAAATAAATAACTAATAATTGATCATTTGTTTTTACAGAGAACGATTTCACCGTTTCGCTAATATTAAGGTTTGGTAGCAAATTAAAAATATCCTGGAGGTTATAAATAATCTGATGATTTACAGGTAAAGAACCGTTAACCACTTTTTGAAGATAATCTCGGATTTCTTCTAACCGAGATTGTAGACCTTTTAATGAGTTTAATTGATCTGTGACCCGAGTGGAAAGTGTGCCAACAGCGTTGTCTTTGATATCGCGAAGAAGATGTTCGACACCTATTTCTTCCGCTTCTTCTGCTTCGATTTGAGAAGGAACATGAACGAATGTCTTGGTTGCGGCGGTACCATCCTATTAATATTATTAGAATGAAAACAATTAATCTTTAGAAATCAATAATTTTTTCTACATATACATACATCTTTGATTTCCTCGATAGCAAAATATGCATCAGTTGGTATTCCAATATCCTTGGGCTTCACGTCTACAATTACTAGGACTGGATTTGGTGTTTGCCTTTTGAACAATTCGTTAATTTCTAAATCGGATCCTCTAAGTTTTGGCCCACTATGATACCACCCAATCATCTTTTCCCTAGCTAAAAAAAAAAAAAAGATAAAATTAGCAGATATATCTTTTGTGGGGGTTTTTTTTTTTAAAAAAAAAACTTTTAATACCATTGACTTTCTTGAACATATCGTTCATTGATTCTACATAATTGTGATCCAAAAACCAGACTGACGGGTCTCGCTCGTCCTCCTCAAATGGAACTATATTTGAAATAATAAAATACTTGTCTAAGGTATGTGATCAATTATTATCAAGTCATAAATTTGAGAGGTTGTATACCGGCAAAACTATTTGCAACGTTAACAGTTTTGCCATTATTTTGACCCAAAAGAACACCAACTACACGCTTCTTGGTGTTCTTGGCTACACGGTTGTAATGATCTACAACAGACAATAGCACCAATGGGTGAACGATTACTGTCGTATACATGGGTGTCGAAAATATTTTGCTCTTGGCGTAAATTTAACAATCTAAAATGTCATTTTTTGTGATCTCCCGTGATAATTAACGTTAACGTTAACCAATCAAAATATATAATTTTTAAAATAATTTATTGTATATTCTGTATATACTAGAAAACGAGAAAAACATCATATCAGATATAAAGAAGCTTATGAACTGATAAATACTGTATACGCTAAAAAATTTATCACATATATCTAGAGAATAGATAGACACGTGTAAAGTTGGTAAATGTTATATTTATTATTATATTTATTACTAATAAACCCAAACTCATTAAAAAATTTACAAGATATAAACCAAAAACTTCAATTTACAATTGACAAACTCAAACACAATTACAAGAACAAGCATTAACCAAGGTCCTTCTACTAAAGAGCTTGTACATATTCAAATTAAACAGTTAGCAATAACATTTTAACGTAATTAAATAGCTTTAGACGAAAACGTTTCTAATTAGTGTAATTTGATATGGTCCAATAAACGGTAGTCTGGTTTGTCTTCTAAACGAAGTTCTTCTGGTTCCTGATCTTTCGTACAGCGCTCTTGTGAAGCTAACGGTAAAAAAAAGATTGTATTATTTATTAGTGAAACGTTACGTTATCAAAAAGTACTCTAAAAGGTATAAATAAGTTATCCGGCAATAGATTAACATCAGCCAACCATACGAATGGCCCTTGCTCGTCTTTTGTATTCGTTCATTTTCTTTCGGATTATAATAACGACTACCATAAATCATTTCGAAAGTCTACAATATTTTTGACAGTAATAAGATTTTCGACAGTCAATAATAATTTCGACAGACGAAAATAATTTTGCCATACGCCTTTTTGGAGTGCAATGGCAAAAATATTAAAAACATTTCGCATGTCGTCTGCTGTAAATCATCCATAATTTCGACACCAACTGTCGTATTTTGAGTAATTGATATCGGGTTTGCAGTTGGCATCTTATACGTAGTAGACACTGTTTCTAATTGATTTGTCGTTATGTTAGGTTCTATTAATAGATCAACTTTTATTTAAGCTTGCTATATCTTGTTATATCCAATCATCTTTTTTTAGTTGCATGCATAACGATTATGAACTTGAGTGATATTATTGTCACATCACATTCACGTTATAATGAAATCCTGCACGTGTAGAAGTTACCTTTGACTCCGATTTTTTTCTGGAGATCGTTGATCATGTGATATAAAAAATTTTCAGTGCAATGTGATATCTAAGTATAACGATAAAGTATAATAGGCATTGAAAGTAGTTGGTAGTCTCAATATAAAGCAGTGGAAGTTTGTGTGCAGCTTATACTTGATATATTGATACGTAATATATAAGACATATTCATACGACTATTCATTCTGAAGCTGAAACTCCCTGTTTTTCAATCGTTTTATCTTCCTCTTTCTTTCGCGCCTTTGAATCTTCCCTCCAACTGCTGCAAGCGATTAGAAACTGAGTTTCAGGTTGTTTTATTTGAGCTCAACCTTTGTGAATCCCTTGTTAGTTATTCCATACCTTTCCATCTTAAGTGTCCCCTCTAAAAACACACACATATATATACATATATACGACACTCATAAAAGGCTTTTTTTTTTTTCCTTACCCAACAAAATCAAGTGAATATATTTAATCTAGTAAAATGGCGGCAAATCACCATCACCACATGACAAATAATATGGCTAACACGCATAGTTTACACTCCTCAAACGTAGTGGGCGTACACTACAGAGTTGGGAAGAAAATCGGTGAGGGAAGTTTCGGTGTCATCTTTGAAGGTAAATCAACCATTTGTCTATTCGGCAACATTTAGCTTTTTCTTTTATCACTGTCGTGAATATGTTACTTTTTCTCGGAGTTTGAAAGTGTCTGACAGGATTTCATCACAATGCTGATTGACATAGAATTTGTTAAGAGTAAACGAAAAAAAAAAATTTTATTTTTATTTTTATTTATTCATGTTTTTTTTTTTTTGACTTGAAAATCTTCAAATACTGCACCGATCCTACATTTGATATATACGTATAGTTTACATGATTATTAGTTTATTAAGTTAAATTGACTTTAGCATCTGTTTGACAACATTAATTTATATGACTTATTCTTGCAAGTAACTTGAGGTCTTTTATTTGATAACGTTTTTATCAGAAAGATAAAATAATCACTTCAGATCTGGACTTCTACAGCCATCAGATCTTACTACCTATTTTTCTTAATATTCCATCACTCGTTCAATGCATTTACTTATTCTATTTAACTTTAGGGACAAATTTGTTAAATAATCAACAAGTTGCCATAAAATTCGTACGTTTTTTTTTTTTTTTTTTTACGGTCATAAATATTTATCTATGGCTAAGAATAAAGTTACTTATTAGTTAAATTACAAAATTCAAAAACCAGGAACCACGAAAAAGTGATGCACCCCAACTTCGTGATGAATATAGAACATATAAAATTTTGGCTGGCTCACGTATGTTATTAATTTTTTAACCAATATTACGTGAAAATCTTTAATAAAGATAATCTTACATATTACTATTTCTATTTATCATTTTTCTCATATATAGCGGGTATACCAACCGTATATTATTTCGGTCAAGAAGGTTTACATAACATATTAGTCATTGATCTTCTTGGTCCAAGCCTGGAAGACTTGTTTGATATGTGCGGAAGAAAATTCGGCATTAAGACAGTAGTTATGGTAGCAAAGCAAATGGTAAGAATATATTAACACTTTAGCAATAGAATGTTTATATACATATATATATATATATTAATGTAACTTATTATTTATTTAACTTTTGTATATGTTATTAATTATTAGCTTACACGAGTACAAACTATTCACGAGAAGAATCTCATTTACCGTGATATCAAACCAGATAACTTTTTGATTGGCCGTCCGGGGACAAAAGCTGCCAACGTTATTCATGTTGTTGATTTTGGCATGGCTAAACAATATCGAGACCCAAAAACAAGACAACATATTCCATATCGAGAAAGAAAAAGTCTAAGTGGAACGGCTAGGTACATGAGTATCAATACACATTTAGGAAGAGGCAAGTCATTAATTTGTACGAGTTTTTTTTTAATACATTTGCAACATGTATTTCATTATTCATTGTATTGATAGTGTAAAAATACGTATTTAAATGCAATACCCTATAGAGCAATCACGACGTGACGACTTAGAAGCTCTTGGACATGTTTTTATGTATTTTTTAAGAGGTGGCCTACCATGGCAAGGACTTAAAGCAGCCACAAATAAGCAAAAATATGAAAAAATTGGAGAAAAAAAGCAATCAACGCCAATCAAAGAATTATGTGAAGGTTTCCCAGGTATGTTCTCTGTTATTATATAATATATGTTATTTTTATTGTTCATTAATTATTTTTTTGATATACATTACTTTTATTTTCATTATTTTCATCATTAATTATTTTGTGCTGATTCTTTCTTTTTCAGAGGAGTTTGGAATCTATCTTAATTATGTCCGTAAGCTCAGTTTCGAGGAAAATCCGGATTATGATTTTTTGAGAGAACTTTTCACTAAAGTCTTAAAGAATACTAATGAGGTAGAAGATGGTATTTATGATTGGATGCTATTAAATGGTGGAAAAGGGTGGGAAGCAGGTTCGGTAAGAATTATTTTATTAATATGTTTTCTACTTTATCAATATTTTTGAGTCATTATGACAATTACAAAGAATATTCTCAGAGATTATATTTATTTTCCATCGTCTTTGTCGCTTTTTGGTTTGTGATCCACACACATCAATAGCGGAAAGATGACGGCACACTTAACCCTGAAACTAACACCCGCGTAACACTTCATGGTACCTCCTCCCAGCCATATAGCACGAACGCTGGTATTCATCAATCTGCTCATCTTCATGTTCATCATGGATCATCGGATCCACGTCATCATCGTTCATCACTTAATCGTGGTCCATCGATGAATCGTAGCCAACAACAAACACCTCCTTCACCCGCTTTAGTTCATGCTAATTCTAAGGCACCACGAGGGACGGGAAAGGCGCACAAACACAACAGTGCGATGTTGAATTCTGGAGTCGAAGATTTGAATAATCCGTACTCTGGTCGTGCTGGTATGAACGGAGGTAACGGTGGAAATGCCAATGGCATCCAAGGAAACAATGGTGCCGATTCAAACTCTCACCGAAGGCGAGGAATTTGGCAAAAGTTCATCGGCGTTATTACATGTAGTATGTGTAGCTAAGTTTCTGATTTCTTTTTCTCTATGGTTGCACTCGTATATGTAAAATTTATTTTATTGGATAGAAAAAAGATATTAAAAAATCAAAGTATTTCATATAAATTCATATTTTTGTCGTTTCTTTCGCACCATCCATCTTTCGTTTTTGTTTATAAGATTCATAAACATATGATAATGTAGTGCATAATTTGTGACTTTTAAAAAAATTTTTTCTAAGATAATGGGTTCTTTCGTGCAACTTAATATTCTAATTAATTAAAAATATATATATGTATACGAACTCTCTAATTTTTCCGTTTTTTTTTCTATCATGACACAATATGTTTTCCTAATGACCGATCATCCAATATTATCTAGGTTGACAACGAAAATTCTCCAAATTTCTCAAAGGCAACAAAAAACAAAGAAAACAAAATTATTTTTGAACGCTAATGCATTTTGGATATATTTTCCTTTATAATAACACCTAGGAACTTCTGAATCTCGTTCTATATAAACATTGTTTTGCATATCGTTTACATTCTCAAAATTACCTACTCTTTAATATTTGTCAAGCAGATTCTGATTCACTTTAAATTACTTCAGTTTTGAATCTTGAGTTCTGTTTGGACGAATGTCACCATTGAACGGAAGAAACAAAAATAAGTAAAAAAAAAAAAAAAAAAAAGAAAAAAAAAACTATATGAGCGTATCGATTTTATAGCAATGATGTTTTTTTTGTTGCGCTCTTTACTTTATTTGTTTTTTTACAAATTTGTGTAATACTTATTGTGAACTAATAGATTTTGGTTTTTATCTTTTGGATATTAATTTTTTTTTTCTGGAGCATATGTAAAATGAGGGCTTATTTTATTTTTATTTTTTTCTCTAAAAAAAAAAAAAAAAAGACAAAAAAAAAAGGTGGATTCTCGCCGCATCCACTTTAGATATAGAAATGTGTAATTAATATATTCCACATAGTAAAAAAGTCGGTTGAATTATATAGTAAAATAAGCATCTGGAATAAATGCGATTTTGATAATTTGAAATTTTACCTATAATTTTGGCTATTCTTATCGTAATCTTACCTATCAATTCAGCTTTCTGTTTTGCTTTATAAAAAAAAAGATGTTTCTCGTTTTATATATTTGGGTTGGTGCTGCGGAAGAAATTATTTTTCCAAATCTGAACTCTCACTGGAATAGATTAATAGAAAGTTCAATACATTCTAGTAATACAGTGAGCGAGATTATTTTTTCAAAATTCAAAATGTTTCAAATGTTTCGATAGAGTAAGATAATTTTGCCAAGGTGAAAATTTCGATTTAACCCTCAACAATAATTCGGGTTTATTAAGTATTGCGTCGCAATGATATATGTAAATGGTTGAAAATTTTTGGGGCATGCCTGTAATTAGGGTTGTCTAAGCCGTGCATGACCCAAAAAATTTTTGTATGCCCAATTGTTTTTTTTGATACTTCTGCACTTACGTTTTTTGATCCATCTAAACATACCCTAAAATCTCTATATTTTTTTCTAACTTTTAACTTTTAACTTCAACAACGTGCAACCTTATTGGTTAGTTTTGGTTAGTTTTTTAAGGTATGTTTAGATATATCAAAAAAGTAGGTGTAGGAATATCAAAAATGTATGTTTTGCGCCCCTGAGGTAGTGCATGGTGAACAAACCGAGGTTTTATCCAAATTAATAAATTTTTTGATTTTTTTATATATTTTAAAATGCTTTTGATTTTTAGAATTTTTTTTTTTTAAATATTAACGGTAAGGCATTTTTAGAATTTTTAAAAAACTTTTATTTATCAAATTTATTAAAAAACAAAAGTTATAAAAAAAGTTTTCAAATATTTATATTTCATTAAATTTTTTTTTTTTTGCATTATAGTTCCTGTTTTTGGAAAAAGATTTTTATTCAAGTTTATAGGACATAGGTGTCTTTAAGGGTTTTCTTATATAAGAGGTTACAGCTAGTTATACATGCATTTTTGGTGCCTAATTTAAGTAGTTTATTTATACATTACTATATAAGTTCTACATTAGGTGTTATACCTGCAAGTCAACTATAGGTCTTGTCTATTTAAATCCTTTGCATATGCAATTTATCTTGTATTATAAGAATATTTTTAAAATGTTGTTTGTTAAAGTTTTTGATCCTTATTAGTACTTTTAGAATTATTTTATTTTTGACAAAAAATTTACTAGAGTTTGTTATATTTTACATATAACTAATCTAGTTTTATGCAACACATTGTAGTTATCTAACACTTGCAATTATAAGGGTTACTTGTTTGATTACTATATACATTATTTTTACTTTTATAAAGTTTATTAAAATTCTGATACTTATCTTTTTGATATTTTTTTTATCTAGAGGTGTGGTGATCTAGTGAAGTGGATAGGTTGTCAACCTCCAAGTGGCAGGTCTAGAGTTTCAATCCCAGTGATGGCAAAAATTTGCAATTTTTTCTGTTTTACAGCTAACTGTCTTCCGTGATTGGTTGGGATAGGATACCTGTAACTCGTGTCATACCAGCCTGACTGGAAGGTCTAGGC